ACCATTTCCTGGCTGAATTTCAATTTGCATAATTACATTTTTCCCATCTAATGCACCCTAAAGTTTCAATTGCCTTTGTGCTCTTCCTGAGCTTACAGCATTTGATAATGTTGCCTGGTTCAGTTTAATAGCTAGTATGCTTCACTCTAGGGATAGCTGCATTTTAGAAGTGGGCAAAAAGATCTGTATGCATATTTGGATGTTTCTTAAGTGCATTTTTGGATCCTTCAGGATGAAAGAGATATAATACGTATGATGATAAGAATAATATATTACATAAATCTCATAAGTGAGCATACCTGTTACTTTCTTTCATATTCATAAATCTATTCTGCAGCACTGGTCACTGTAGTTACAGATAAATTCAAACGCATACACATACTGTACAAAAACACACACATAAATATGGTTTACATTAAACAAATTAATCATTTTTTAGATTTTAACCAAAATGTCCTGTGTGTATTTAGTAAGACCAATAACAACCCTGCAACCATTTAAAAAGGTGTAATTTAAACCTCAGGTGATTTTAAAAAGAAACAAGTTTGTGCATTACAAATGTCCCACTCCAGTATAATGGCAATACAGCTCAGTACAATACAGCTCAACTAATGCTTAACAGGATATGGCTTTCTTGGAACAGGGGAACATAAGGGCCATGGTAAAATAAACTCTTTTAACTTAGTTATAATCCCTACTTTAAATCAAATAGGTAAAAAATGAATTTTAAGATCGAACTCTTTTTTAAAAAGCTAGCAGACAACAAGTGCTTATGAATACACTTTGAATATTATTGGATTAGTCATTGCAAAGGTCAGATCATTGCCTCTCCAATGTCATAAAAATCATGCAATAGATGGGTGAAATGAAGCCACTACTGCCACTGCATAAATCCATCTGCCACTAAGACAAACTCAAGCTTCTCTTTTCTCCATCTCCTCATTTTTACATGCAAGGGCAACAAGTAAATAGGAAATAACTTCGATAAAGTCAGTTAACTGACATGATGATGTGAGTGAGATAATTTTCTTCATGGTTGCATTCTTCCCAGTGGTCAGAGCAGTAGTACAGTATTAAGAGGCTGAGTCTGCAGTTTTCTGCCTGGCAGAGGAAGGTAGGGTTTTGAGAGAAGAAAGGGATTGTTATTCTTAAGAAATCAGTGGGATGCAGAAGTTGTGTCTCCTGACAGGTCTATTCATTTATATGCATTGACTCTGGCATGTTGTCAGCTGGTTATTTTTTAACTAATGTAGTTAGTTCATGCAGCCTCCAGAACCCCCATCTCTTCCATATATCTTGGCTAGATGATAGAATTTAGACAATATTTGACTTGGATGTACTACAAGGGAAAAGCACAAGCCATCAAAAGCATTTTTATAACCATGGGTTAACATGAATCTTTTCTTTGGCATTAAATTAAGAAAAAATAAAGCTATATAACTCTAGCATGCAAAATGTCCTGGGTTTCTATTACATTTTCCCATGCAGAGGAGGGAAAGTTTATTAGTGAATACTAACTAGGTCCTGTGGGATTGCAATGTGCTACTGCAAGGATGCACAAGGTAAGTAGTCAAGTAAAAGGAAACAGGCCTAGTGCCTAGAGCTCCATACTTCAAAGGGCACCTTGAAGGCAAAGATTTTTTTTCTCTTTAAAGCAAATGAACTGACTAGCAGTTTTCTAAGCTGCTAGTGATGCTGCTGAAAAAATCTGATCTAAGTATGTGTAAAGCTGAAGTGATTATCTGAGCTCCTCTTTATGCACAAAGACATTGTGTTCCAAGACAACCAGCTAACATCACATCACAAATTTAGACTGATGGCATGCTGTAACCAGTTACCAAACCTATTAGGTAGCAGACGAGTATGAAGTTATTGGGACAATGTTTCCTTGGGGGAGGTCATTGCCTGTCTGTGTCTCATTACTCTGAGCTATTTATAATCACTTAATTACTCAGGCACCTAAGAAGGGTAAAGCCCTCATGGAGGAATCTGCTTTTCATGGGGTTACTTCTATATTCAACAGGAATTAGTAGATTGGAAAGCAAACATGTGCAATACCACAATTGCTTCTTAGGTGTGTCTTAGAGCACAGTTTCTTCACCCGTGGTACGAGACACAGGCAGGGGGTATGCAAACCAGGTGTGGAAAAACCCTGCAGCAAGGGGGCACCGCCGCTCCCCCTGCTGCTGCCGTGTGTGTGTCCGGCCACTTGCCTCACGCCCAAGCCAACCAAAGGCTGCTGCAGGATGGGGAGGGTGGGCACACAAAAACCTGCGCACTCCCTACTGACAGGCAGCTAAGTTTTCTTTCTTTTTTATCCTGCCTGGGCTTTGGGGGGGGCGGAGGGGGGCAGACGGAGACCCCCATAGTGCAGGAGGGGCAGGGCGATGTACCGTGCCCTCCTGCACTATGGGGACTGACGACCCAGCCTGCCTGGGGCCCAGTTCACTGTGGGCAGGAGGGCTGGCAGTGGCACCATGCTCTGCTTGGGGCAGGCTGCGGTGATGAGAGGAGGGCTGCTGCCTGCCCCCCCAATGCCACTGCCACCGAATGCAGGGAAAAGCCCTTTGCCACTGCCAGCCCCCGCCTGTAGCCAGCCTGGGTTCTGGGGCATCTGCAGCAGACAGCAGTCAGGTTGCAAACAGCTGCACCAGGCTCCACAGCCCCGACATCAGCTCCATGCTGGCGACTGCACATGCATCTCAGAGTAGACCACTGTCTACTCTGAGGCGCGCATGCAGTCACTGCCAGCATGGAGCTGATGCCGGGGCTGTGGAGCCCAGTGCAGCTGTTTGCAGCCTCCCTGCTACAGCTGCCCAGAACCCAGGCTAGATACAGGTGGTGCCGGCAGTGGCACAGGGCTTTTCTGGGCTGTGCTGCCTCAGGTTCCCCGCTCCCCCACAATTGTCTGTTCAGAGCCGTGGGATGCTGGAGCCTGAAGCAGCTTCTTTGCAGCCTCCTGGCTGCAGCCAGCCCAGGCTCTGGGTAGCTGCTGCCAGCCACAGAGCCCAGACTGCTTGCAGCAGGCCTTGCAGCCTCCCAGCCACCTGCTGGGAACAGCCCAGGCTCCATGGCTGGTAGCACCTGCCTAGAGCCTGGGCTGGCAGCGGTGTGCCAAGCAACATGGCCTCACATGCCATGCTCAGCATGCACGCCTCGGGGGTTGCTGACCCCTGCTGACTTACCTCACTGCACCACGGGCCTCTGCATCTCCCCATCACCCCAAACCCTGCTTCAGTGGCCCCAGAAGCAGTTGACACCACTTGCCTCTACCACAATTACAGTTGCTACCTGTCCCCTCTCTCTCTCCCCCCTTTCCTCTCCCTACCCACTTCCCTGTCTCACTCACTCTTTCTCGCCCTATATCCTTTTCCTTTCTCTCTCTTTCTTTCTCGCTAGCTCTCGCCCACTGTCTCTTTGACCCCTTCCTCCTTTCAAAACTATGGCAAAAAATATGGCACACCGCACATTGCTCACCGCTTCAAATTCCCCAGCAATATTTTGGCGTGCCACACTTTGCATGACACTGGGTTCAGCCGTCCTAGCTTTGGCCAACATCACCTCTAGCCCAGGTGCATTCTTGAGCACCCCTGGTGTAAAAGGTAGTAACCCTACCCACACCAGATCAGACATCTGTCATATCACGGCCTTATATACGCAGCCCTTCTTCCAACATACAGCACACATTAGTCTGTAAATATAAAATTTCCTGGAAAATTGAGTTTTGGGGTACTTATTAAAATTTTCAGAAGCTAGGGAGTACTTGCTACTTAAAAGGTTGAGAAACACTGTCTTAGAGAATGACATAGCAACTCTCTGCCAATCAGGTTTACAAAGCTTACTGTATAGTAAGTTGTTTAGCAATGACCTGTGAACACTGAATTGGATTGGATGACCCCTCTGGGCTACCTTTGGGTCCAGCAGTGTGACAGAGCAGCTGGGCACCTGAGACAGCTGCCACACATGGGCAGTGGTGACATCCGGCTGCCGGTGCTGCTGGTGTTATTGCCAGTTTTGGTCCTCCCCCACAAGTCCATGCCCAGGGAAATTACTCCAGTTGTTTCACCCTAGTTACACCACTGTCTGCATCTCATTGTGCCTGAGTAGATAGACATATGTTAAACAGTATTTCCTGGTGCTGGTATTCCCAGTTTGTGTAATCTGAGGGCCGCTGAACAACTAAGGATCAAGACTGCAACCCTTGGCATCTGTGCAAATCTGGAGTACAAACAGCAAGACACAGCAAACAGTAAATCCTATTACAGCAGCCTGTGCAGAAATAGTGCAGCACCTGGCTTAGATATTGTTCGTTGGGTGACTGAATCATTAAGTAGCACTCGTTGAATGGGGTGGCCCAAATATGTAATCTCAGCACCTGTTGTTGCAAGAACTGACAGAAAGCGTGCACCTGCAGGCACATATGCTTAAATGTGGTTCTCATCTGCTATTGTAGGGCTTAATTGTTGGAGATATTTTTCTTATAGTCTTTTCCTTGTTGCTTGTCAAGTGTAACTTGTTGGCCAGGAATAACATTCTTTGTCCTGTTTATTACCTTTAACCTTGTATTTATGGCTGCAATGCTGTACTTAGCTTAGAGGCATTGGCATGCTTTCTCCATTTACGCAATGATATGGCTTCCAGTCTTCTGAGCTGTTGCCCCATTTTCTTTAGAATCCTGTTTTCTTTGAAACAATCATTTCAGCTGGAAGAATTAATTCATGCAAACACCTTCCCACACCATAATCTTATGTTTGAAAAGGGGTGGGCCTGATAAACAAATCCCAGTACAAATACTTTCAGTGACCTGGTGATTGTCCTCCTTTCCAGTTTGAAGCCTGGGGCATGGAGTAAATGGGCGTTCTAAGCTTACATGTTACTGAGAATGAAAGAAAACTGAAAGCAAGTTCCAGGAAGTTATATAAACTGGCAGGGAAATCAGTTGAACTACCAAGGTTAATATTTTAACATTTTAATGTATGCCTTTTCCTTCGTACAGGCATACATCTGCTCTCTTTGCCTATTCAAATGAAGAAAAACACTTAGATTCCTCTTCATCTTCTTCACAAAGACCAGTTCAGAATGATAAGTAAGATCTGTTCTTGTGTACAGTACTGTAGGAGGAAGTGCTTTGGGCCATGGATGTTGGGGTGTGCTGGAACCGGTAGAGGAATGTATATGGGCAGTGATGCTGGCACTTTGGGACTGATTTTTTTCTTTCTGTTTATTAATCACATACTAGCCCACAGGTATTTGCATAAGTTCAGCTACCACAGTGTTTTTCTAATAGTCAGAAAAAATATTAGAACAGCAAGCATTGGTGTTCCCTAATGCATTAAATTGATTCAATTGTTACTAAATGCTGGTTAAATTCCATACAATAGCTTTGTGAAACTTTACAAAGATTTTATTCATATCTTTGGCTGCTTCCTTCTTTCAGCAAAGTTAGAGAGGCCAGTAAGGCCCATGTTGATAACTTCGACATTGCAGAATTACTGGGGGGCTCTTTTGCCTAAGAGGACTTATATTGGATCTTGGAAAAAGTATTGGACACTATTAAAATATTTTCAGGTGTATTTTCCCTTTTAGTTTCAATAGGCCCCTGCAGCTCATCTTGAATGTAGGAAGATAACTAGATAGAGTTTCTGCAGCATCATGGGATCTGGAGATTCTCACACATTTTGCTAAGAAGGGGCACCACAGCTAGGATACAGAAACTAACGTTGCTGTCTATTGTTGTGATACACACGCAGATGTGATGGAGGCTGAAGAAGAGGCTGAGATACCTATTATTTGTGGGATGGAAGTGAGGTGCGCACACCCCAGGACAGGGAATTCATTGGAATCTACCATTTATAGGACTAAAATATCATCTCACCACAGCTAGTGGTTGTAGCACCAGAAAGGAACAGTGTTGCAGAATATGGGATGCGGGTCTGTGAAACTGTGCAGGAAACTATGCCAGGATAGGGTAACCTTCATTTGCAATGGCAAACTTGTAAAGTGAAGTTCCTTGCAGAGAGAGATTTTGTGAAACAGATGGGAGGAAAAAGTCTAGGGAACTTTCTTGGGAAAAAGTACAAGTAGACCACACCAAAGGCTCAGTTTTAAAATGTAAATGTTTGATAAGCACAGTTTTGCCACTTGTGTTTCCTGTTTTAATGGGCATGGTATGAATGCTTAAACAAGACAGAAAAAGTAGCCATTGTGTCATCTATGTAGTCATCTTCTATCTTTAAACTATAGAAATATTTAAAAATCAATCTCTGTCCCTCCACACAGCTCAATTAATTGACTGCTTTTTGGGATAGCTATTAGATACACAGAATTATTATTCCAAATCACAATCATGTGTGCTGCTACCAGAAGAAAAATGAACATAAACCTAGGTAAATATGGATGCTGTGAGTCAGTATGCAGATACCCTGGATGATAGTGATCCCTGTGATACAAATATCTTGCTCATCATGTACATGTTAATTATAGCCTGATTAGGAGTATACGTAGAGCTGAACACTAACCATGTCAGGTATGTTGCATAGTCTTCCGCTATGATACTAAATGATTACAATGCAAGTCTTCCAGTCTAGTCCCTCCTTTCCATATTGTGAGATTAGCAGCTGCTCATTTATAGTTACCATCCTTTTGATGCAGGCCATAGATTAAATTATGTCTTTTTTCCTATTCCAGAAAAACTTGTGTCTTTCTGTACTGACAACATTGTGCATAAGCATTTAATTATATCATACTGAGGAACTCTTGGTAAACATAGAAGCCTTGCAGCATCTTTTATTTTTAGTTGGGGATACAAGGGGCAGCACATTAAGGAAAGGATTGCACCTACTGGCTAAAGCAGGGGACTGAAAGTTACAATTCTTGAATCATGTTCCCAGCATCGCTACATGAATCGTGTTCCTGAGTTCACTACCTGTGCCACTTACTTAACCTTCTCATGTCTTGATTTTCCCTACATCAAGAATTGACTAATAATCTTTCCCCCCAAATGTTGCAAAACTAAATTACTTGATGTGTTCAATATGCCTGACACCCTCAAATGAAGAAACTGTTCTTTGAGGCAAGCCCAGTGTGAGTCACAGTTTGATTTAGGTACATTATGAGACTATAAGGGAGCAACCTGTTTGTGTCAGGATGGGTGAACGGGAAATCCTTTTGAGCCTCACAAATTGAGGTGTGTCTAGTGAAAGCCCTTCAACACAGTTAATAAAACACCTGGTGCAGTGTTTTATTACAATATAGTAATTTTTCTTCCAATCAAAGAGAGATAAATGAAGCCTGGAGGTAAATGTGGGGCCTATTTTTAGTGAGCAGCAGTAGCACTGTTTCAGAGGGCTATCTCCTGGATTTGTCATCAATTCAAATATATTTCTCATGCAACTGTGCCAGTATTTCTGAGAGAGAAAAAAAGAGGGCCTGCATCTAACCCTGTCTGCATTTACTGTTGTGAGAAAGCCATCGTGTAGATACTTCACTATGTCAAACAAGGTACAAAGAAAGAAGACATATTTTTCAGTGCTTCTGTCCAATTTAGAGTAGGAGATGCAAACATTTCACAAATCTTACCTCTACTCTCTATCCTGCAATGTAACATTTTTTTGCACAGTGGGGGAAATTTAGAGATATGATCACAGGTATCACCCACAGTGTGTTCTCATATTACTGAGGCCATTACATTTAATCTCCATGATGTAGAGGGTAGACACAGGCTCACCTCCCAGTTATCCCAGTATAAATAAAGATTGAACTTCCTGTGCACTATGGATCTCCAATGTCTCTTCCAGCCTTTAATTTCTATGATTCTATGATTCCTGAAGGCAAGGCCTCAGTGGAACTGCCCTTATGAATTTAATTGCTTATGAAGATGAACACTACAAAATTTATGGAGAAGAGCCTGAGATTTTACTGAACCTATTTAAAAGAGACCAGCCAAAAGCATTGGCTGACCTGTTTGCTCATGCTGAAGATGGGTGTTTCCTTGTGACTTCCCACAGGGCATCATTAATACTGCATGACTTTAGCGCTTTGTTTTGGTAATAGTAGGCTTGGAGTTAACAAAAATTTCCTCTAATCTTCCTTCAATGTTTTTTCAGGCTTTGGTTGCTGACAATTTCCTGCTTGAAACTGAAAAGAGAAATCAAATCAACTGGAAAAACCAAACCAAACCAAACCTCTAATTTAATCCAGCTTTCAAATTGTTGCTAGGTACTGGTGTTTTAGTACATTGTAAACCAGGGCTGGTAACAACCCACAGGGTGTCTCACCTGTCCCTTTTGGTTAATCTTGTTGTGTAAACCAGTGAGTTTGCTGTTTCCCCAGTGAAGAGACTGGATGTTCTTGGCCCTTGGACAGGTGATTCAGGCATGATTCATAGGTGCAGAACATCTTGTTGCCAGCTGGGGTTGGAGAAAGTCTCTTTGCAAATATGGACTCAAAGAACTGCAGCAAGCCAGGTCACCTTTTGCACTGCTTAAAATAGCAGCCTCATAAAACAAAAGGAAGTCAAACAGATGTAAACAAAAAGGCTTACAAGAGACTGGTAATGATTATCAGACAGTGGCATTATTGCACTGCTGATGGGTCTTTACAGGCTTGATCCTTCTGGAGACCCCACTTGGCTCTATTCTTTCTCTCTGGGAGACAATTAGGGGTTTAACTCTGATCTTAGTGGTATCACTGATTTACACGGGCACTAATGAGATCGGGATCAGGCCCATGTTCCTTAATGTGGCCTATGGTGATGTGTTATCATAATGAGTAATGATAATTCTTTTTAGTTCAGCTAGTAGAGTAGGCACAGGGGAGGAGGGGGTGTCTCCTGAAGCAGCAGGCTGCTACTGGGGCCATTGCCTTTTGTACAAAATGGGCACAGTAAGTTCATTTCCTTGAGTCTGGGCAAATAATCCAGTCCATTCCCTCAGGGTTGCAATTTGATACACTTAAACAGAGTACTACCTTTTTCAGTGAATATTCCCAGTGATTATGGCTGGATCTGAGGAATTGAATATTACCCCATATTTGTAAGTGTTTCAGACTCTGATCCACAGGAATGAGAGATCCTTTGTTTCCAAAGATGAAGGTTTCTACTTTTCCTGTTCTCAGAGTGGAAGAATTGTCATTCATTCATATGAAGATCTTAAGACAAATACTATTGTAGTAAACCATGTACAAGATTGGGAGTTATTCTAAACATCCAACATTAGATGAGGTATCTGTGTCACAGGGACATGATCTGGCTTCCCCCAAATCACATGATATATCTCTGGCATTCCTAGGAAAATGAAGTCCCACATGAACTTCTCATAAACAAATTGGAGAAATCTGGGCAAGACAAAACTACTACATAGTGAACAGACAACTGGCTCAATAGCTGCAAGCAAAGGGTAGTTATAAATAGATCCATATCAGAATGGCAGGAAATTTTGAGTGGAGCGGAGTCCCACAGGGGTCTGTCCTGGACCCAACTGTGTTTAACGTGCTTGTCCCAGGAGATGAAGTAATGGGAGATACTTACCGGCAGC